GTGTGTGTGTGTGTGTGTGTGTGGCCTTGTTCTTGCTACTTGGTGGGGACAATTTTTCTGAAAAATGCAGCCTTGTGGGGACTGAGTGCTCCTTGTGTGGACCAAAGCCCAATCCCCATGACATCAGAGGCTGATTTTGAGTGGGGGGTTAGGTTTAGGATCAAGGTGTGAATTGAGTTTAGGTCAGCTTTAGGGTCAGGGTTAGGCTATAAAATTTCCAAAAAAATGAATGGTCAATGGAAAGTCCCCATAAGGATAGAGAGACATTGTAGGTGTGTGTGTGTGTGAGAGAGGACAGATAGGGTTCACACTGTTCTGTAACGTCACTGCTGTATGAACATATGACTGAGTAACAATACAGCCTGTGTCTCTGAGGTCAGTGTTCTCCTGGTACGTGTTGAAAAATGAAGTTTAATGTTCTGTGTTCAGTCTCTCTGGCATCGTTTCTGCATAAACTACACTTGATACTTTGGTCTTATTTGTTGTTTTACAAACATGGCATTTACCAAAGTTTTGTCTAAAGCTGTTTTAAAGAGATAATTTTGTCATTTTTGAATTGATATTTTAAATATTTAGTAACACATCAGCCATTAGTCCTAGGGTATGGAGAATGAAACATGAGGCTAAAGCCTTTGCCCAGGCTAGACTAAGCACTAAACAAAAGTCATTTTGTTTTTCAGGCTTATAAAACAGGTCTTTCTAAAACTGACAAACGGATAGTGTTAGACATTATGAAGGTATTGGTATACAGTGGTGTTAAAATATGGTGACAGTATAGAAAAATATGACAGTCATGTGAGATGATGCACCAAATTTCCAAAGGCTGCTATGAAAACTGGAACATGAACATTTTAGGCTCTTTCAGAAGATGCCCCATAACGTTACTGACGTGTTCTGACCACTTTGGTTCATTCATTCAGAAGACAATGGATGGGGGTGGGGGACAGAGACCCCACCGTCTGTCGTGCCTTTCAACTCTGAACAGGTAAAAAAAAAACTCAGAGTGAGGTAGTGACAGAAATTCACACGTCATAGCACCATAGTTTTTGTCCTCATGCCTCTCTCTGGCTCTAGAATGTCAAGTGATGCATGAAAACGCTCACATGCAGCCTTGTGCAGGATTACCTCCTGGCCTAAGGTCTTTCTGGGTAAAGTTTGTGTGTTTCTTAATGTGCACGCTTGGGTTTACTCCAGTTTACTGGTAACACTAATTTGACCCTAGGCGTGAGAGAAAGTGTGAATGGTTGTTTCATTTGTCTCTGTGTAGCCATGTGATGAACATCCAACCTAATCAGGGTTTACCCCCCACCCCCTCCTCATGCAGTGACTGCTGGGTATGGGCACCAGCTGCAGAAAGGAGAAGCGGGTTAAAAATTGGATGAATGGATGGATAGACAGTTTCGATACACAGTTCACCAACTGGAAGAAGTATCCTCCGGACAAAACCTATATGTTAGCCACTGGAACGCCAACAAAGAAGAACTTGCCTGAACACCACTGAAAAAGAATCCACAGTGTGTGCACAAATGGACAGTATGCAACAGTGATCTACAGTGCAGCTTCACTTTAATAAAAGAATAAGATTATGTTGTGCAATGGAGAGCACAAATTAAAATTCTTAGAGAAGTTAAGACTATTTCATCCAGAAAGTACTCTAGTTAGCTGCCTCATTTGAACCATGTAAATGTTTTGATCATGCCTACTGTATTTGACAGAACATTGCTTCAAAAATGACCAGAGCATCCCTTCAAGTACAGTCAATCAGTCATGGCTTGGCAGAACAATGGCTCAGTGGTTAGCACTGATGCCTCACAGCAACAAGGTTCCGGGTTTGATCTCTGGTTTGGACTCCAAGATTGCACCTAATGATGGGCCTCTTTTCTGTGCCGAGTTTGCATGTTCTCCTCATGCTTACATGAGTTGTTTCCAGGTTCTCTGGTTTCCTCCCACAGAAATAAAGGTTAAATTATTTTAAATCCAGAAATTAAGAAAAGTTTAGACAGCTCAAAAGTTTGTGTCACACTATGTTAAACATTTCATGATCAAATCAAACCTAAACTGTGAGTCACAAAAGTGTCTGTGACCTGTTTAAACTTTTAATGGTGTTTTTCTGTGATGTTTGCCTGAGATATAGAGTTTTCTCACTTGCTCCAACAAAATCCCATTGAAACATTGGTATGGAACATTTTGTCTATGCCAGTGGTGCTCAATCCTGGTGCGCGAGGGCCCCTATCCTGCACGTTTCAGTCATTTGTTAAGACTCCAGAATTAGCTATTTTACTCTCAAATGTTATTAAAAAGTAACAAATCAAAGCCTAAAATTGTCAGTTTAATCATTTATTACTGCTTGTCATTTCAGTTCACTTGTTTGAATTAGCCAGTGTTATCATAATGCCTGCCTCCACACTTAAGCTGCTTTGAAGGGATGAACCTGCTGACCAGCTTTAATGGATAGGATGTTCAGAGAAAGGCCTTGTCATTTTGACCAAACAGTGGCACTGATGGGAGTGACACAACATCAGGGCACAGCTCGAGTGAGCTTCTCAACACAATCTGGTGATTTGGAGTACTATGTGGACATTAACTACGGTAATACAAATCCATGATTATAATGTGTCAGAGTGAAAATGAAAGTTGAATCATAAAATGATGCATCTTTACTTTTGGATACAAAAGCACAACTTCTGCTAAGCATTCAGATTTTGAAAAGATGTGCATGTTTTCAGCTGTCCGAGTTCAGGGCTGGTTATGTAATGTCAGCTGTTTAGAGGAAGRCGACAGCAAAAGAAATACATGTTAAATCTGATCAGAATGATGAGGTAATGAACAATTCAAGCAAAGTCAGGCATGAAGTGGATTTTGGAGATAATGAAAGTTTTACCTTGTGCAATTAAAAAATGACTATATTGCAATATGGAGTACATATGTTAACAACTGTGTGATAGAAAAATATATTTTGATTTTTTTCCTATTTGTCAGTAAGTTACGAGATATTCTACTGACTCAATCACATCAGCTTTACTGTGTTTACTCTGTAGATAGGAATGTTTTTGGCCAGGACAAGATCTGCTGCAAGTTATCACTGTTATTTTTTTTTCTTATCTTGACACAGTACAAAGTAGGACTGGGCAATATGGCTGAAAAATGTTTCACACATTTTGTCAGTCTGAAGAAATTTAAAGTTATTAGAGGTTAGTACTGATGTTAAAAGCACAACACTATATTCTTAGGTTTT